AAAATTAAACCATACTGTCATATCAGTTGATACAGATAAGGTTGTGACAAGATCCAACACTATTCATGATTGAAAAATTTTTTAAAAAACTCAAAAAAATAGGAATAGAAGGAGTATAACTTAAGATAGTAATGGTCATCTACAACAAACTCACAGCCAATATCAAACTTAATATTGTAAAACTAAAAGCCTTTCTCCTGAATGCATAGTATAGATATGCATCTTACCATTTCTATTTAACATAATTCTGGAAGTCTTCACCACAGTAATCAACAAGAGAAAAAATATCAAATGGATCCAATTTTTTAAAAAAATTCAAAATATTGCTATTTGTAGATTGAAAACAGTAAAGACTTCACCCCAAAGCTATTAGAAATAACAAACTAACATAGTAAAGTAGCAAGGTACAAAACCAGACACAAAAATCACTCCTGTACACAAATAATAAACTAGAAGGAAAATAAATCAAAAAGAGTATTCCCTTCAAAATAATGGCCCAAAACAAATATCTAGATATCTAGGAATCAACTTAATGAAGACAGTGAAAGATTTATACAGCAAAAACTAGAAATCACTGTTAAGAGAAATAGAAAACACACCCAGAAATGGAAAAATATTTCCTGTTCATGGATTTATTTTATTTATTCATTTATTTTTGCTTTTTGGGTCACACTCGGAGATGCACAGGGGTTATTCCTGGCTCATGCACTCAGGAATTATTCCTGGCGGTGCTCGGGGGACCAGATGGGATGCTGGGAATTGAACCCGGGTCAGCTGCGAGCAAGGCAAACGCCCTCCCTGCTGTGCTATCTCTCCAGCGCCCCCTGTTCATGGATGTAAAGAATCAACATTGTTAAAATGATTGTCCTAACCAAAGTACTATACAGAGTCAATAAAATACCCATTAAAATTCCAATGATTCGGCCACCCCAGGTGGGAATAGATTTCGTGTCTTGGCCTGTTCCCCCTGGTGGTTCAGTGGCTGCCATCCTCCAGAGGCCATTCGACAGTCAGGTTTGGGCCCGCAGTGACGAGACTTGTGGGGCCTTACAGGATGGGGTGGAACCGGCCCTTTCCTCCCCACCCCAATGAGACCCCGAGCCACCTCCCACGAACAGCCTCTCTGGCTCCTGATCAAGCTGCTTAACGGCCATGATCCCAGAGACTCAGGAACAAATCTCGGAACAAGGGTTTGGGCAGAAATCCCTCCAGATTTAATTGTGAAAATTTCGGAATTCCGATATCGTGTGGCCACTACTGCGGCCGCACAACATCATATGCTATTCATAATCAGCAATGGAAAACAAATCATCTACGGTTTCCTTTCCAGCAGATCTGAGTGATGGGGTAAAATCCCAAATAATAATGGTGGGTCTGGGGTCGAAATGTTGAATGATATCAAAGTAGAGAGAGAGGAATGTGGAAATCATCTACCCACAAGTAGGGGGAGGGTGTGGGATGGGGGGTATACTGGGGTTTTTGGTGGTGGAAAAATGGGCACTGGTGAAGGGACAGGTGTTTCATCATTGTATGACTGAGACTTAAACCTGAAAGTTTTGTAACTGTTCTCACTGTGATTCAATAACTAAATTTATAAAAAAAAAAAAAAAAAAGTAAGGTGGAGTGCATGCCCAATTCAATCAGCGTAATCAATGGCTGAATAAATAGCAACACTCCTACATTAAAAAAAAATTCCAATGATGATTTTCAAAATCATGGAACAATCTGTACTAAAATTTGTATAGAAACATAAAACTTCCAGAACAGGCAACACAATCCTAAAGGGAAGGAAAGAGAAAGAAGAAAAAGAACAAAGAAGGGAGGAGGAGAAAAAGAGGGAGAGCGAGAAATAGAAGGAAAAGGAGGAAAAGAGGGAAAAGCAGAAGCAGAAGGAGGAGGAGGAGAAGGAGGAGTAGAAAGAAGAGGAGGAGGAGGAGGAGGTGAAGGGAGGAGGAAGAGGAGTGGGAGGAGGAGGAAGTGGAGGAGGGGAGAAAGAGGAAGTGGAGGGGAAGGAGAAGGAGGAAGTGGAGTGAGAGGAGTAAGAAAAGAAGGAAGTGAAAGTGGAGGAAAAGAAGGAGGAGGAGGAGGAGGAGGAGGAGATTGCATGGAATAAAGATAGACCCGCAGACAAATGGAACAGAGCTGAGAGTCCTCAGTTGAACCTCAAGGTTTACGAACAACTAATCTATGAAAAGGGAGCTCAACATATAAATTGGAGCAAAAAACATCCCTTACACTTAAAATTGAGCTACCATATGACCCAGCAATTCTGCTTTGGGTATCTATCCCCAGGACAGAAAAACATTCATTCAAAAGGACATAGGCGCACCATTATTCGTTGCAACACTCAGTACAATAGCAAAGATTTAGAATCAATTTAGATGCCGCAGATCATGAAGATGTGGCAAATACAGAATGGAATACTAGGCAGCTGCACGGAATAATGAAGTCATGTAATTTGCTGCAACATAGATGGAACTGGATGATATCATATGCAATGAAGTAAGGCAGAAGTAGACGGACACAAGATAATGTTACTTATATGTGGTATTTAGAGTAACTGGATGAGAAAACACAATCGTTTAAGGGGGAGATGCCTATATTACCCTTGGCCGCAAAATATAAGAAGGAAAGAAATAGAGTGAAGGGAAAGGGCAGAAGAGACAGATGAGAAGCAACAGGGGCAGGGGTTAAGGGGGTTTAGGTACATCCATATCGTTAAAGAATGACAGTGCTAAATATCCAAACCACAAAGTCAACAACACTTAAATCACGAGATCCAAACTTTAGTAACCAAATTAAAAAGATGCCTGTCAGTCTGGGACTGGGGCAGGGGTGGGGGAGGAGAGGGAACCTGGAAATACTGATGGAGGAAAGTTGACTCTTAGGGCAGTGATCCATGATAGAACATTATATGTCAAAAACCCAATTATGAATAACTCTGTAACTCAAGGTACTTAATAAAAGAAAATTTGGAAAAAAATATAAATTCTCTTCAACAAATGCTGTTGGAAAAACTGTATAGCCACATGTAAAAAACAATTGCCATTAGAATCATATCTCACATCTTCACAAAAGTGAACTCACAATGGATTATATATCTTGAGATTACACCAGAACCCATAACATACATTGACAAAACATTGGAAGAACTCTCCAGAATATTGACCATAGAGGAGTTTTCAGCAAGATGACCACAGTGGCAAAGACAACAAAACCAAAACTAATCAAATGAGACTACAACAAATTTAAAAGCTTTAAAAAGAAAAAAAAAAGCACCCTACCGAATGGGACAAAATGTTTGCACACAGTGCAGTTGCTAAAACTTTGATACCCAAAAGCCATAAAATACTCACAAAACTCAACAACAAACAACAAAAATCCAGTGACCCCCCCACACCTACAAATAGTGTGAGGTGGTTAACAGACATTTTCATAAAGAAGACATAATAGCCAACAGACATTTGAAAAAATGATCATTGTCACTCGTTATTATGGAAATAACAAATCAAAACCACAATGAGATATCACTGCATGCCATGAGAATGAGGTGATCTAAAAGTCTGGAGGGCTGGAGTGATAGTACAGTGAGTAGGGCATTTGCTTTGCGTGCGGCCGGCCCAGGTTTGATTCCCAGCATCCCATATGGTCCCCCCGAGCACCACCAGGAGTAATTCCTGAGTGCAAAACCAGGAGTAACCCCTGAGCATCACCGAGTATGACCCAAAAAGAAAACAAAACAAAATAAAATAAAAGTCTGGAAACAGCCATTGCTGGTAGGGTTGTGGTAAGAAAGAAACCCTCATCCACTCTTGGTGGGAGTGTCATCTGGTTCAGTCTCTATGGAAAGCAATATGGGGATCTATCCAAAAACTAGGACCAGAACTCTCATAGAGCCCAACTTCTTGTAATCTCCAAATCACAAAAACACTAATTAATTAAACTGATATATGTAAAACTATATTCTTCACAGAGCTTAATACAATAGCCAGACGTGGAGAGAACCCAACTGCCCAAATATGGCAGAATGGAGCAAGAAGTTGAGATAGATAGATAGATAGATAGATAGATAGCAGTGGTACAGTGGGTAGGGCATTTTCCTTGCATGTGGCTGACCAGGGCTTGATCCCCAGCAACCCATATAGTCTCCCAATAACTGCCAGGAGTAGTTCCTGAGTGCAGAGCCAAGAGTAACCCTTGAATGTTGCTGGATATAACCCAAAAACTAACAAACAAAAGGATAGACAGAATGGAATACTATGCTGGAGCGATAGCACAGTGATAGGGCGTTTGCCTTGCACGCAGCCAACATGGCTGACCCGAGTTCAATTCCTCCGCCCCTCTCGGAGAGCCCGGCAAGCTACTGAGAGGATCTCGCCCGCACGGCAGAGCCTGGCAAGCTCCCCGTGACGTATTCGATATGCCAAACACAGTAACAACAAAGTCTCCAATGGAGACGTTACTGGGCCCGCTCGAGCAAATGCATTTCTTAAAAAGAATAAAATAATACAGTTTTGCAGCAACATGGATGGAACGAGAAGATATCATGTGAGCACAATCAGTAAGAAAGAAAGGGATAGACACAGAATGATTTGTCTCATATGTAAGACTTAAAGCTACAACAGCAAGGCAACCACAAAGGTCCTAAGAAACACAACAGGAGAAATGAACCACACATTTCAGTTTTGCAGGATGGGGTGGGGAGAAAGAGAGGAGTGTTGGGGTCCTCATAAAGGGAGATGGGTATACTGGTGATAGACACGTGTTGGATATATGCATGAGAAATGATCGTTAACAGCATTGTAAATCATCTCAATTAAAAACATTTTTAATAATAAAATTAAATTCTGCTCAAGACCTATTAGAAGTTTCCATGCCTTCTGAAGTTTTTTGATATATAGTTTGAAATATATCAATTTAGAGAATTATATTTTGGAGACAAACATGGAGTCAACTATAAATAAACTTGTCCCTCTAAGTTTTAAAACATTAGTACTTACTTGGCTGCTGCATAAACAGCACAGTATGGGATCCGTGTATAAAATGGAAGGAAAGGTCTGGAAGAGAAAGGAAAATACAAATGTGAAGGACTTCTGCATCATGACCATTCTGAACTGTTTTCCAATTCCAATATTTTCCCCTTAAAAATCAGTGAGCTTGGGGGGCTGGGAAAGAGCACAGTGGGTAGGGCATTTGCCTTGCATGTGGCTGACCCAGTTTCGATTCCCAGCATCCCATATGGTCCACTGAGCACCGTCAGGGGTAATTTCTGAGTGCAGAGCCAGGAGTGACCCCTGTGCATCGCCAGTTGTGACCCAAAAAGCAAAAAAAAAGAATCAGTGAGCTTGAATATCCCATTAATCAGCAATCCTCAAACTTGTACATGTACAAAATCAGTTGTCAGTGAGGATATTCCCAAGTCTAATCAAGGAGAGTCAGCAGGTCTAAGGTAAAGTCAATGCATGTGCATTTCAAGTAAGCACTCCAGAATTTTCTCAACAGATAAACAATACTTTGATACTTTGAGAAGTACCCACTATTGGGCTGTAGCTGGTCATTAGCTTCTAGCAACTCCTCAATTTCCTAGGATATTCTGAAATTCCCAATGATTCTGTTTAAATAGTTCCATAAAACAACCTAGAAAATGAGTATACTACATTAAGAATTTAGTATTTGGGAGGCCAGAGAGTTAGTACCAAAGGGAGGGCACTTGCTTTGCATGAGATGGAACCAAGTTTAATGCCTGATACCCAATATGGTACCCTGAGCACTATGTGAGCATGCCTAAGCTCTGAGCCCAGAACTAGGAGTAAGCCCTGAGCAATGAATGATATGCCCCTCCCCACCAAAATTATAATAAATGGGAAAAATATGTTATTTTTGAAAAATAAGCATCATAAAACTTCCTTAGGAAAGATGTTCATGCATAATAATTTTTAAGGAGATAGTAATTGTGTTTACCTTTCAAAGTACTTATAGCGATTTCTTCCAGTAATTTCGGGATCTTCGTAAGTTTCTTTAGGTCTCTGACAATAAGTATCTGCTCTAAAACGAAGCAAAAAAAATTATTCAAGTCTAAGAATTTTATCTAATGTTTTTACGTCTATAAAGTAGGAGATATATATAGGGTATCTCAGATTGAGAACAAGTTTTATATAACTATCCAATATCTCACAGTCAATCACAATCACAACCATCCTGTTATTCGTCGATTGCTTCGAGCAGGCCCCAGTAACGTCTCCCTCATCCTAGCCCTGAGATATTTTTTAAAAAGTGCCATATTCAAGGCTCTTTCAGAGTTAGGAGAATGAGACCCTTCATTGTTACTGGTATTTGGCATATCCGATATCTCAGATTACATAAAATTACTCTCTCTTAATCTTCTGGAACCTTTCCTACCAGTAACAAACAGAAGATGTGGGAGTTAAAAAAAAAGTGCACATTTCACAAAGACTGGCACACGTCAAAAATCGAGAACAGATGACTGGTTGAAGAAACTATGGTATATCTACACAATGGAATACTATACAGCTGTTAGGAAAGATGAAGTCATGAAATTTGCTTATAAGTGGACAGATATTGAGAGTATCATGCTAATTAGCCAGAAAGAGAGGGATAGACATAGAATGAGTGCACTCATTTGTGGAATATAAAATAACATAATGTGAGATTAACACCCAAGGACAGTGGACCCAAGGGCCAGTAAGATTGCTCCATGGAGGATCCTCCCAGGAGGGGAGATGCATGTTGAAAGTAGACTATGGACTGAACATGTTTGCCACTCAATGCCTCTTTTGCAGACCACAACACCCAAAAGGAGAGAGAGAACACAGGGGATTGCCCTGCCACAGAGGCAGGGGGGATGGGGGGATGGGGGTGGGGGGGATATTATCCATGGTGGTGGAAAATGGGCACTGGTGGAGGGATGGGTATCTGATCATTGTATAATCGAAACCCAAGCACAAAAAATTGTAAATCTACAACTGTACCACATGGTGTTTCACTAATAAAAAAAAATCAATAAAAAATAAATTAATTAATTTAAAAAAAAAAAAGATTGCTCCATGGTTGGAAGCTGCCTCATGAGCCAGGGGAGAATGCAGCTGGGACAGAGAAGGGATCATTAAGTCAATGATGGTTGGAGGGATGACTCGGGATGGGAGATGTGTGATGAAAGTAGATAAAGGACCAAACGTGAATAAGAAGGAAATTATCTTCCGTAGAGGCAGAGGGTGGGGTGGGGTGGGGGTGGTGGGAGGGATACTGGGACATGAGTAGTGAAAAATGTACACTGGTGGAGAGATGGGTGTTTAATCACTGTATGACTGAAACTCAATCATAAAATCTTTATAACTGTAAAAAGAAGTGCACATTTATTAGACATCATATACAAAATAGCCACTTTTAATTAATAGCATATGATAACACAAAGTTTTAAAAGACAACTTTTCATATTCATGCTGAAAGTAGGTTTGTTTTGTTACCGAACATTTGTATGGTAACAAACAATTTTTTAAACAATATTTTAAAAACAAATTCTTAAAAAATTTTTGCTTTGGGGCCATGCCCAGCTGTGCTTAGGACTTACTCCTGGCTCTTCACTCAGGGATCACTCCTGGCAGGGCTCAGGTGAACATATGGGGCTTCGGGATCAAACCCACATCAGCCACGTGCAAGGCAAATGCCCTACCTGCTGTGCAATTGCTCTCGTCCCAGGTAGCACTTTTTGATTCATTAGAACTTACCTAATTAAATGAACAGAAATTCTAGCTATTTGTCTCTGAAGGTTACTGGGGACTAGGTCTCCAATTTTTTTTAGTTTTTTACTAGCAGAAAAATACATCTGTAGACCCGAGAGATTGTGCAGCAGGTAAAACATTCACCTTGACAGGAGAAAACTGGGTTTGACTCCTGGCATCACAAAGAGCTCCTTGAGCTCCGCCAGGAGTGGTCCTTGAGCACAGGAATAAGACCTGAGTTCAGTTGAGTGTGGCCCCCCAAAACAAAAAATGAAAAACACACTTGCAATTTCTAAGATCAAAGGAACAACATACTGCATTTAATATATGTGAATGTTTATATATTCAATTCAATCTTCTGAGAATACGTATTAACATACAAGACTAACCACTGCTCCTGAATCAGTTTCATTACTGTCTAAGGGGTTAAAATAGAGAATTAGGGGGCTCAGTTGGCCTAAGCATAAGATCACAATTGTACCTTTTCAAGTAATGAAGAATCAGTAAATGCAATTCTTAAAAATGCATCCTTTAAAAGCACACATCTTATAGAAACTGCAGGTGCATGATACTTACTCTGGAACCCTCTGAAGGCCGCCTCTAAGTTTAGTTTCAGGCCCCTTCCACTCCTGATTGATGAACGGTGGAATAGGGCTTGCCTTGCTCAAGTGCAGAGAATATCTTGGATAATGGGTCAAGTTGCTGAACATGTTTTGAAACCTGGGAACTTTTCTCTAATATTCGAACAAGAAAACAAGAAGGAAAAAACATGAAATTACATCATCAGATTTTTCTATAGCATTTTTCATATATATGTATATATACAGATATTTATAATATTGAATTATATCTTTATACATGTGCTATCTCTCTGGCCCCAGTGCAAAGGAATTTCTATAGCATATAAGGGCTGGAGCGATAGCACAGCAGGTAGGGCGTTTGCCTTGCACGCAGCCAACATGGCTGACCCGAGTTCGATTCCTCCGCCCTTCTCGGAGAGCCCAGCAAGCTACCGAGAGTATCTCGCCCACACGCAGAGCCTGCCATGCTACCCGTGATGTATTCGATATGCCAAACACAGTAACAACAGGTCTCATCATGGAGACATTACTGGGCCCGCTTGAGCAAATCGATGATCAACGGGAGGACCGTGACCATGAATAAGGTCCAGTAATGCAGCTAGCTATAGCACACGGCTTGGGGTCCTTAGGTAGATGAATCACACTTACCAGTCTGCTTTTCATCAACATGGCTTGGGCACTGGCTTGTTTGTGGTCTTTCTCACTTGACACAGTAAATAATGGATCTGCAAAATAAACAACAAGGTAACATAAGGAGCAGAACTTACAGACCCTGAGACTGAGAATAATGGCAAAGTGGGTATCTCCAACACCACAACCTTATTGAAAAACAATTTGGAGGGGCCATACAACAGTACTGCGGGTAGGGCCCTTGCCTTGCATTTGGCCAACCTGGATTGGATTCCCGCCATCCCATATGGTTCCCCAAGCACTGCCAGGAGTAATTCCTGAGTGCAGAGCCAAGTGTAACTCCTGGGCACCGCCAGGTGTGTCCCAAAAACAAACTAACAAAACAATTTAAAGCATTTATATATCCCCGAGTTCTGCAGCAGCTCACCTCCTTGTTCTTTCCCATGAGTGAGAGTGTATTAGATGTTCTTCCTCTCTGAGTTTCCCAAATCAGTTTGCAGACTGGGGATGCCAACGGGTTCTAACAGATTCTCCAGCACCACAACCTAAACATACTCCGTTTCCTCCCACAAACAACCCACCTCCTGGGGTTGGGCAGCCAGGAAAATAACCCCCAAGGAAAGACTACACATATACAAACTATTCCAATTCACAAGTGCACTGTAGCACAATTTGTTGTGAGATGTGTGTTTTTTTAAACCATATTTTATTTATTTTTTGCTTTTGGGTCACACCCAGCAATGACCAGAGGTTCCTCCTGGCTCTGCATTCAGGAATTATTCCCAGTGGTGTTCGGGAGACCATATGGGATGCCGGGATTGAACTCGGGCCAGCCACATGCAAGGCAAACGCCCACCTGCTATACTATTGCTATGGTCCCCAATCTCTTTGTTTTAATAGTCTGTCCTGGTTTTAATCTGCCTTGGCTATGTTAAACTTCCTATCTATGAAGCTGTAGGATGACCTGTTTTATTAGCGGTATGATTTACACTTTAGATTGGCCTATTCTGAGTGGATTTTGTTCTCTGAAAGGAATGTGGCAGTATTTCACAAATCCTCCGCCAAAATAAAAACCAACAAAAGCTCAACTTACAACAATAAGCTTAATAAATTATTTTCCTACCTTTACTACTGAAGTTTATCCCCACTTCCAAATTATCTTTGAAACAACTACAGCAATGTGTTTGTGATAATTTTACTAGGCTCATTTTATAAGATGAAACCAAGAATGAATAATTAAAGCCACCTGGAGAGACAGCTCAAAGGGCAAGAGGACACACTCAGCCAGTGGGAGCCTGAGCTCCGTTACCTGGAAACTCAGCGTACCCTCCCCTCCCCAACCCACATCAGCACAACTGGGAACAACCCTGGAGCACAAAGCTAGGAGTGTCTTCTGAGCACTGGGGAGTGGCCTCCTTCTATTTTTTTAATAAAAAAAAAAAAAACAAGTAAGCACTTGTCATAACATGTTAGTATAACTGCTACCATAGCAGGGAATGGTACCCTATCAATTACCATCCCAGGCGAAACTGAGAATCCCAGAAGGACAGTTGAAAGCAACTCAAGAATGCCTGCATGGACGGTGGGCGAAATTGAAAAGGAAAAAAATTGTATTTAACTGATTATATCTCTTGTAATGTTGTATTTAATGATAAAATAAATATTTATGCTGCCACAACATATGTGCCAGGACTGGACTAGGTACTTGAGAACGCCACAAAAATGTATACGACAAAGAAAAAAAAATTAAAGAACTCATGGAAGTTGTGGTTCTGAAGAAGGGTTGGAATATACATGGATAGTCGGGTCAAGTAAGAAACTTGGACTTATTTGGCCCAGAAGGATCCAGGGGAACTCTTTTATTTGCAATGCTTTGATAGCTAAAAATCATTTCAGTGGAGGGAAACCAAAATGGTTTTGGCATTGATGTTGGAACACATGATTGAGTCTGAAACTCAACTATGAATAACTATTTAAATTATGGTGCCTAGTTATTTAAATTTTTAATGTAAAAATAAATCTTTTTTTAAAGAATTATTTTCAAAAACAATAGCCCCAGCAGGAAAAAAAATGGGGAAAAGAGATGAACAGAAATCCTCAAGGAAGAGATACAGATATCCAAAATATCCATACACACAACCCCAAATGTATGAACATCTAATCTTTGATAAGGGAGCAAGAAATGTGAAGTGGAACAAGGAAAGCCTCTTCGACAAATAGTTCCGGCATAACTGACAACCACATGCAAAAAAAAAAATGGGCTTAGACCTGAACCTAACACCATGCACAGATCAGATCAAAATGGATTAAAGATCTCAACATCAGGCCAAAATCCATAAGGTACATTGAAGACAAGGTCGGCAAAACCCTCCACGATATTGAGACTAATGGTATCTTCAAAGACGACACTCCACTGACCAGCCAAGTGGAAACAGAGATAAACAAATGGGACTATATTAAATTAAGAAGCTTCTGCACCTCAAAAGATACAATAACCAGAATACAAAGACAATCTACAGAATGGGAAAGGATATTTACCCAATACCCATCTGATAAAGGGTTGATATCAAGGATATACAAAGCACTGGTTGAACTCTACAAGAAGTAAACATCTAACCCCATCAAAAAATGGGGTGATGAAATGAACAGAAACTTTCCCAAAGAAGAAATCCGAATGGCTAAAAGGCACATGAGAAAATGCTCTTCATCACTAATCATCAGGGAGATGCAGATCAAAACAACAATGAGATATCATCTTACACCACAGGGACTGGTCCACATCCAAAAGAACAAAAGCCACTGGTGTTGGCGTGGATGTGGCAAGAAAGGGACACTCCTTCACTGCTGGTGGGAATGTCAACTGGTTCAGCCCTTTTGGCAAACAGTATTGACGATTCTCAAAAAATTAGAAATTGAGCTCCCATTTCACCCAGCAATACCACTCCTGGGAATATATCTCAGAGAGGCAAAAAAATTACAGTCGAAATGACATCTGCACTTCTATGTTCATGAATCACGACGAATCCCGACCATCCTGTTATTCGTCGATTGCCTCGAGCAGGCCCCAGTAACGTTTCCTTCATCCTAGCCCTGAGATTTTTAAGAAAGTGCTATATACAAGGCTCTTTAGGAGAATGAGACCCATCATTGTTACTGGTATTTGGCATAATGGGTACGCCACGGGGATTTCTCCAGACTCTGCCATGTGGGCAGGTTACACTCGGTAGCCTGCCAGTTTGTCCGAAGCAGGAATGAGATAATAAGATGTCTTAATAAGATGTCGCGCGGCCCGGGAGCTGGTTTTTATAGTCTCTGAGTCTTGGCCGTCGATGGGATTACACGGCGCCAGGGGGCCAGTTAGTGGGTGTGACCCCCGCCTACTGGAATTTGGAGGATCTGGGTGGAAGATGCTCAGCCTCGATTCGAGTAGGCTTGGAGCTCTCAGTTCATTCCTACACTATTCACAATAGCCAAAATCTGGAAAAAAAAAACCGAGTGCCCGAGAACAGATGACTGGCTAAAGAAACTTTGGGACATCTACACAATGGAGTACTATGCAGCTGTTAGAAAAAAATGAAGTCATGAAATTTACATACAAGTGGTACTACATGGAAAGTATCCTGCTAAGTGAAATGAGACAGAAAGAGAGGGACATACATAGAAAGATTGCATTCATCTGGGGAATATAAAGAAACAAATTGGGAGACTAACACACAAGAATAGCCAAGATAAGTACCAGGAGGTTCACTCCACGGCTCGGAGGCCAGCCGCACATGCTAGGGGAGAAGGCAGCTCAGATAGAGAAGGGAACACCAAATAAAGGGTGTTGGGAGGATCCTCCCAGGATGAGAGGTGCATGCTGAAAGTAGACTATAGACCAAACATGATTGCCACTCAATGCCTCTTTTGCAAACCACAGCACCCAAAAGGAGAGAGAGATCAAAAGGGAATGCCCTGCCACAGGGGTGGGGTGGGATGGGGGGCTGGGGGGCCAGGGATTCTGGGAGCATTGGGAATGGGCACTGGTAGAGGGATGGGTACTCAATCATTGCATAACCGAAACCCAAGCACAAAAATCTGTAAGTCTACGAGTGTACCTCGTGGTTTCACCAATAAAAAAAACAAACAAAAAAACTAAAAATAGTAATAAAAGTAACTCAAACTCATTGTAAAAAAAAAACCCTGTCATTATGAATATTGCCAATCATGGTGCTTATAATAGTTAAAGAATCATTTTCAGCCGTAGATATAGCACAAAGGGTATGTTGCTTGTCTTGCACGCAGCCGACCTGGATTCAATCCCTGCTTCCCATATGGTCCTGAGCTCTGCCAAGAGTAATTCCTGAGTGCAGAACCAGGAGTAATCCCTGAGCATTTCTGGTCGTGGCACCAAAACCAAAATTATTATTATTATTATTATTATCATTATTTTCAGGAAAGAAAAAGAAAATGAAGATGAGATTAACTGGTGCTCTTTACCTGGCATGTCAAACACCCAGAAAATGAGAAAAGATCCCCTTTGCGGCATTGCACGAGGTTTGAACGCAAGAATGTTGCGGGAACCTCCAAGTCTGCATATAGTTGCATGCTTTTCTAGATACAAAATGCCTGGAATCGATTCAAGGAAATTAAAAGGGTGATGAGAGCAAGAAGGCGCAGCACAGTGGTCCAAGACGCAGAACACAAGGTCTCGGAGGCATCTGTCACGTAGTGGGCTCGGACTGCCCCCTCCCTGCAAAGGACCACCTGGGACAAGGCACTCTTCCTGAAGACTGTCTTTCGCTAGCCCTGCCCTTGAGCAGGTCCCAGCGGAGCAACGCTCGCCTGCCTGGCGGTCCACGCCTCGGGAGGAAGGCTCTTACCGTACACAAAGTCAAACGCCCGGTTGCGGGAGAACACGGGCTGCTGGACCGAACTTAAGCCACCCGCGGCTTGAGACGCCTGCGGCGTGGTCAGGAGCTCCTGGACAGTCGTTGCTTGTTTCATAGTGCTGTCTCTTTCCTCCGACCACCCGGAGGCACACAGGGGAGGCCGAGTTGCGGCTTGCACTGTCGCTATGGTAACAAGAGCCGGAGCGAGGACCCGGCGAGGAGAGGCGCAGAGACGTAAGGCGGGGCTCGGTGAAGGGGCGTGGCGGGGGCGTGGCTTCTACAGGGGGCGGGGCGGGGCGGGGCTCCGAGAAGGGCGGGTGCTCTGCGAGGGGGCGTGGCTGGAGGCGTGGCTTCTAGGCAGGTGTGTGGCTGGGCGTGGCTCCGAGAAGGGGCGAGGCTGGGGCGGAGATTCTAAAAGAGGCGGAAAGGAGGGGCTTCTAGACAGGGGCTCAGTGAAGGGGCGGGTGGGGCAGGGCTCCGAGGCGGGGCGGGGACCGACGGGGCTCAGTGAAGGGGTGGGGCTGGAGCGGGGCTCCTAAAAGGGGCGGGATTGGGCAGGGCTCCTGAGGGCGGAGCTTCTAGTAGGGGCGGGGCTCTTGAAGGGGCGTGGCTCTGTGAGGGGCGGGGCTCTGGGCAGGCGGGGCGGGGTCGGCGTTGAGAGGTGGGACAAAGGCGGGGTGGGCAAGGACTATGTGAGGCGCTGGAGGAAGGCTGGAAGAAAGCTGAGGACAGAGTGTGAAAGGAGGAAAATGTGGACAAAGGAAAGTCAGCTGATCTAAACCTACAGCAACTTGTGAGTCACGCACCCTTGGCCTCTTCAGGAATCTGAGCCGTTGAGGTTTTCATTTTGGACCACCTTTTCCCCTCTAGGGCTTGTTCTTGTACCTAGTCCCTGAGTCACTGGCAACAGCCTGTCATTAGTACTGGTTGAACCACAGGCCGCTGGCCTTATTGAGCTCTGGGTATAAATCTGATGATGAGATAAGCACTGTCTGCTTTAAAAACTATATATATGTACATGCGTATATATATACATATACATGTGTATCTATACATATACAAATACATATGTATATACACATATACATATGTATATATACATATATACACACGTAACATATATATATAGTTTTTAAAAGCAGACAGTGGCTCAGCCGGGTTCGATTCCTCCGCCCCTCTCGGAGAGCCTGGCAAGCTACCGAGAGTATCTCGCCCGCTCGGCAAAGCCTGGCAAGCTCCCTGTGGCGTATTCAATATGCCAAACACAGTAACAACAAGTCAAACACAGTAACAACAAGTCTCACGATGGAGATGTTACTGGGCCCGCTGGAGCAAGTCGATGAACAACAGGAGGACAGTGCTACAGTGCCTCTATTTTTCATCTAGGGTTTTTTATAGAAAAATTTTTCTTAGAGGGAGCCAGAGCAGTGCAGCAGGAAGGATGCTTGCCTTGTTCATGGCTGACTCTAGTTCAATCTCAGGCACCCCGTATGGTCAGGAGTGATCCCTGAGCACAGAGCCAGGATTAAGCCCTGAGCATTGCCAGGTGTGGGTTCCCGCAAAAAAAATTTTTTTTTTCTTAGACTGGGGAGATAGAGAGGGTTTGGATTACATAGAACTTCCAGGTTTGATCTCCCGCACCTCATCGCATGGTCACACCAACAGTGCCTGCCTGAGTGCATGCATTTTTACATATCTGATGTGTTTTAATCCGGCTGCATTACTCTCTATGATGCCGCCATTCTCCCATGAGGCTAGTAGCACAATGGAGAGTTGGTTTCTGTCCTTTTGAGATAATCCATTGACACTTATTGAAGAAACTTGACGTTCCTCTTTCCGAACATACTCCTGCTTTTATTTTCTCTACTGTACTATTATTTTGTCTTTCTCTACTACCTTTTAGGAGTTTTTGAAAATCAGTCACCACTTCCTTTGGCATCTTCAAGCTCATTCCTCAGAGACGTCTAAACACTTTTTATTTTATTATTTATTTATGCTCCCAACTAATCTAGATTTTCTTCAGGATCCAGTGCTAAACATGCAACCTCAGGTGGGTTTCCCCAATTTTCCCACATGGAGCAAGACTTAGTTCTTTCCTCTGATGCTACTGTAGCACCAGTACAGCATTGACCCACCCTCGTGTTAATAACTGTTTGCCTCTCGCCCTCACAACTGTGAGTTCACTGAAGACAAAGGTTCTCACAGGATCATTTTATATTTGAGGTCTCTGGGTCACAGAAAATTAAAGAAATAATTCCCTGGAAAGCAGAGCTATAGTACAGAGGGAAGGGCACTTTCTTTGATGTGATCAATCCAGGTTCGATCCCCAACATCCCATAAGGTCCCCAAGTGCCACCAGGAGTAATTCCTGACTGCAGAGCCAGGAGTAACCCCTGAGTATCGCCAGGTGTGCCCTACCTCACACCAAAATAAATAAATAAATAAGAAGAAAGAAAGAAAGAAAGAAAGAAAGAAGAAAATGATTCCTAAATGAGTACTTTTGTTGGGGGAGATTTGGGTGACGCGGGGAGCAAGAGTAGTGCCTTAAGAAAATGGCGCTTCCACCTCTCTACCCCACCCACCTCAGCATCCCAGGAAATTCTTGGCGTAGGTCAAGATGGATAAAATCTGCCTTGAGCACATATACAGCAAGGACTCCAGCAGCCCACTGACTGCCCACACACCCGCAAGCAGTTGTCAAGCAGAGCCTGAAGTTTTCTTGATCTGCAAGGTCTGAGAACTGATCCCCGCCACGAGAGTTCTTGAGGGGCTGGGGACTTGTGCTGAGGTGACGAATCGCTCCTTGTAGGCCCAGGGAAGCTGAAAGCAGAAGCATTCCAGGCCTAGCTCGCCTCACATTCCAAGTCTAACCTCTGCACAGGCATTCTAAGAATGTTGTCTTCCCTCACAGGAAAGAATTTCAGGAGGGGACAAAATAGTGAACACAGAAATTCAAGGAATTTACCTAGAGAAATGTGAAGGGACAGAGAAAGATGCATGCTCAAAGGAGAACAAAGGGGTCAGGGCAACAGTGCAGGGCGGAGGGCATTTGCCTTGCATGTAACTGATCTGGGTTCAATCCCTGACACCACATATGGTCCCATGAGCCCAGAAGTAAGACCTGAGCATCCCCGGGTGTGGCCCCCCAAACAATAACAAACGAAATAACATAGGCTCAAAGGAGCAAGCCTCTAACGCCTTTTGGTTCCAGGCTATGTACAGTTCTCCAAATGGTCTTTGCCTGGAGTGCTCCAAGTCCTTCCATGCCCCAGGGAAAGCCTTGCACTTTCCATCCTCCTTTCATTATCTCATCATAATTTCTGTAGCTTCTCCTTTTCTGAGGGGTCTGCCCTTCTCTGGGTGGGGCTTCATATTCTGCATCTGGTGGTGCTTTTATTTCTCCAGCTGCAAAGAGCTTGGGTTTTGTAGCTCAAAGAAATGTGGTCTTTTCATGTCTTTGGACTGCTTCAGGAATGAGCAATTTCTTCTTAAATTTTAATTGCTAACCAAAAGCTCATTTCCAGGGCCCCCCACCTGTCTTCCTGCAACAGAAGGTTATAAGCAATTTTTCAAAATTGTCCTGAAGTTCTCTGCATGCATAAAAGTTAATTGGGGTGTTGTCATAGGGGAAAAGGCTGGGTCTCTTGACGTCCTTTCATAGTCTTATGATGACTTTTATATTATCCTATGGCTTCTCCTTTTCTAGGAGCCTCACCTTTCTCATTGAACTCTGAGCACTGAGCAGGGAGTAGCCCTTGAGCACCTCCTGATATACCCCCTTAAAAAGACGAAGAAAAATCTTTCTATTAGCAAGACATACTAGGTAATAATGAAATTATTATTATATTTGCATAAATCACTGTCACTGTCCTCCCATTGTCCATCGATTTGCTCAAGCGGGCCCAGTAACGTCTCCATTGTGACACTTGTTACTGTGTTTGGCATATCGAATACATCATGGGTAGCTTGCCAGGCTTTGCCATGCAGGCGAGATACTTTCTCAGTAGCTTGCCAGGCTCTCCAAGAGGGGCGGAGGAATCGAACCTAGGTCGGCCGGGTTGGCCGCATGCAAGGCAAACACCCTATCCACTGTGCTATTGCTCCAGCAGGACAAATTATGTAAAATAAAGATATTTTATTAAATTATTATATGTTAATAATGTAATAACTCATTAAAATCAAAGTCCTACTTTACTGTGTTGGAAAACAATTCTCTCTGATGGTTCTCTGGTAAGGGGAAATAGGGAAACACAGTCTGTCATTGCTGTTTTGTGTAAGAAATGACTTTGGAAGATAAGAGATATCCCTGAATCTTCCCTGGAGGGAAGGGCAGGTTTCTCCTAACCCTAAGAGACAAAGATAGAATCTGCCTTTGACCAAAGAGCAGACCTCCTTACTGCCATCTCTAAGGAATTATATATCCTAGAAAGCAGCTGTGGAGAGAAGAAATCACAGAATTAAAACTGATGAAAGAAGCATTCAAAATGGAACAAACCCCCCACCCGCACCCCAACCCCCGGAGAATAGCTCAGAGGGTTTTAAAGTGCATGTGGGAGGCCCAGATTCGATCTAATCTATGACCAGTAAGCAACACATCTGCTCAGCTCCTTGAGCCATTGCTCCAACGCCCCTCCCCCAACTCCCCTTTCATTTCTTTTATACCAACACAATGCTGCAGCTCCAGAAATCATCTTAAAACTGCATGTGGCTGAAACCTGGTTTGATCCCCATAACTGGGATCACTTCTGAGCTCCAAGGAGTGTGGCCCATCCCCCAACACCCCCCACAAAAGAAAATCGTCAGAATCTGGAGGGTGGGAGGGAGGGAGGGAGGGAGAGAGGGAGGGAGAGAGGGGGGTATTGGGAGGGGAGCAAATGCTTTGCTTCCAGGAGACCCCGACATGGCACCTCCAGGAGTGCCTCCAACAATGGAGCTGGAAGTGTTGCCCCTAGTCAGTTCGATTCATGCAAGGCCCCCAAACAAACAAAAAAATTAATTGTAATTCTTCTCTCTCAGCATATGGGGTCACTCCTCTACCACCAACTACCAAGCCTTACATAACTTTAGCTCTGGGATTAGTTAAGGATGAATAATGGCTAAATTTCTTTTATCACA